ACATGAGGGACTGGCGTGTGATGCAGGGATGGGGCCAGGACCATCAGGGAGTGGAATGGAGACTGGAGATTAAGGCGGCTGGCAGCAGTGAGGAAGAGCCCCCCGAGGAGCCTGTGCCCAGTGTGCATGCGCGCAGGGCTGCTCGAAGGAAAGAGCAGCTGCAGCAGCACGGGCGACTCGGGAGTACAGTTGCAGGTAATGGCCCCTCCCTTAAGAGATAAAAGCCAGCTGAGAAACTGGAGTTCTTTGCAGGAAGCAAAGAAGTTCTTGCACTCAAGCCTTGTGGAAGTTCGGACTATCTTGGTTGGTGTTTTAAGACTTTTTGTTTGGAATATTTCTTGGCAACATAATCTAGTGCCTTTGGCAGCCTTGCACAATCTTGGCAACGTGTGATGACCTGGCGGCACGGCACAGAAATAACACAGGCAACTGGCAGTTCAAACCACCCCTTTATTGCTCTAAATTTCCCCAAAACGCTCCCCATTTCTGGCAAGTCCCAGAGCAAAGTGATATCTCACACACACACACACACACACATACACCCCTCAAGCAGCCTCTGGCTGCAAATAGTCCAGCCCAATGCTGTGAGAGCACCACGGCTGCAAAACAAGAAATCCAGCAGGGCAAGTCGAGGAGCCCAGGAAGCAAAGAGGCACGAAAGTAATCCAGAAATCCAGAAAGAATGCAAGGAATCCAGGAGCGTTCAAACGTCGGCACTCAACACTCCAGGAATTCAGCATTTGTTCCCGACAAATGCCCCTCCCCACAGCGTCTCCTTAAAGTCTTAGATCCCAGGTGTGCCTTGTGAAGAGGGGCGGGGTGCTCTCCTTCCGAGCAGCCGGGGCAGTCTGCACTGTTCTCGCCTTCTCTCCACTCTCCGTGCTCTCGGATCAGGAGGGGGAGGCCCTTGCTCATCACCTGAACTATGTCTCTCATGTTCACTGCTTAGACTCTCTTGGTCATCCTGTCCCCCCTTCCTCCCTGCCTACAAGCCATCCCAATCCTGAAAGGCCCTGTCCTGACTGGGCCTGCTCCTCCCCATTTTCCTCCCAAGCCAACCAAGCCGCTCTCTCGATCTCCGTCTGTACCAGTTCCGGCAGATTCAGGCTCTGACGGGGGCATGACACGGTGTTTCCCAATTGTGGCAACTTGAACGTGAGTGGACTTCAACTCCCAGAATTCTGGGAATTGAAGCCCACCCATCTCCTAGTTGGCAAAGTTGAGAAACATTGTTCTCAGGGGCTCCTGAAATCACAGGAAGGAACGGCTTTCAAGCTACAAGGCATTTCATTTGAAAAGTATTTTAAAGGATGCCACCCTTATTTTTTTTTTTAGTCTGTCTCTTATAATAGAGTGATTTAAAGCCACCAAATCACTGATGGTTCCTTGGATAGTTGGTTATAAAAGGATGATTTTTATTAGTCTGGGAAAAGTTGAAAATGTGGTAGAGAAAACAGTTAAAGCAATTTAAAACAAATCATACCGTAACTACTGAAATGTGCCTAAATCCATCTAATGCGTTCAATTAACAACTACTTGAAATCTTTAGACTAAGAATGAGGAAATAATGCTACTTTAAATGGAATTACTTAATACTGACCTCCTATCTTTCAGAAAGAGATGCAGAGTTAAAAGTTGAGCAGCGCATGATTAAGGTTTACAGGAGTGGAATGAAAAGGGGTACGAGTCATGCCACCTGGTCTAGTAATGCATCAATTCTAGGCCATTCTAGAGTTGTGGGCATCAACTCTACCCCGTCTCTGAGATGCAAAAGCCATCCTGCTTCTGTTGGGATGTCAGTCAATCACCAAATTTGACTGTTGAAAATGTAAGAGATGAGCAGGCAAGGAATCAAACATGACCAAGGGAGGAGTCAAACGTGTCATCACTCATGAGTCCCTGTGCACCCACAATAAATCTAAGTCCAGCCCAGCTTGAATGCCTTTCTTATCTCCCACTAATTTCCTTTGACCGTTAGTAGTTCACATTCTTGTAGAGTTGCAATAAATCTTTATACTCATTTGAACTGCCTGAATCTCCTGATTTTCCCAGCACTTGACAGAAAATGCTGAAGAAAACCACACTAAGACCACAACTCTTCAGGACTGTAGCCACATCTTTGAAGATGAGTGAGGACACAAATGATGACTTCTGGTTTATCAACCTGAGCCTGAACACAGGGGCAAAGAAATGAACAGAACAATGCCACGGCTGGATGACAAGAGGAATGGCAAAATCTCAAATACAACTCAAAGAGTTGTGACAAGAAGTGGTTGGGGCTATTATGGCAACGGAGATAAAAATGCCAGTCCCCGCACAATATTACAGGATTCATAACCAGGTCCCCAAAGAGGGTACATTTTGTTCTCATTTTTCTTCTTCTTCCATAATCTCTTTTCATAGAAACAGAAATCAGGAAACCCATTTAAGCCCCTTATATTTGTTGTATTATTTCTTTCGAGAAGTACATTTCAAGACAGAATGCTGACCATAAGTAGACTTCATATCCCAAATGAAAGAGGGTAAGGTTCAAATGCTCTTCAAGATCTTCAGAGATGTTTTAGATGAAGGCATGGAAGGGATGCCCATAAAATCTATGATTGACACATAGCCGGGGAGGGAGGGAGGGAGGGAGGGGAGCCAATATCTCAACAGAAAAGCTCGGGGTTCAAAAGGTACCGATAGACTTGAACATTGGGCCCTATCCAACGGAATACTTTTTGGTGGTGAGAAATGTAAGGTTCTGCATTTAGGCAGGAAAAACCAGGTGCACAGTTAAGAGTTGTAAGTGGTAGCTGGCTTGGCGGTTGCACTGATGAGAAATCTCTGCGTATCTTGGTAGATGCAGATGAAGCATTCACTAGCAACGTGCTTCAGTTGCCAGAAGAGCCCTTGTGGTTTGGGGCTGCATGAAGATCTGAGGCAGGGGTCCCCAAACTTGGCAACTTTAAGACTTGTGGACTTCAACTCCCAGCATAGCTGGCTGGAGAATTCTGGGAGTTGAAGTCCACAAGTCTTAAAGTTGCCAAGTTTGGAGACCTCTGGTCTAAGGGAAGTGCTATGTTGCACAGGTCAGACCAACTATGGGATATTGTGTCCAGTTCTAGTTGTCACAATTAGAGGATGGACTGGAAAGAACACAGAGAAGAGAAGCAAAGAGGGAGGGATTAGAGACCTTTGAATGAGCTTTATCCAGATTTTCTGGGTGGAAAACCCACTCTGGTTTCAATCCCCTTGAAGCTGAATAAGAACGCTCATGGCATCTTATAAGTTACAATTACATTAATACAAACATTTGCTCTCATTCTTGACTGATTTTTCTATCGATATATTCTTTTGTGTCAGCTGCAGATAACTGCAAGATTCCAAGGTCTACTCAACTTTATATACTTATTTTAAAGTGTCAACCCTTAGCGCCATCCTTTCAACCGTCCAATTTGCATTTTTTTTTTTGCCCTTTGGATGTCGTTTGTCATTTGCACACAAAACACCACACTGCTTGTTCAGGAGGGATCATCAGCTACAGGTTGGAAGTTGAATTTCTCCAGCTCCTGGATTAATTTAAGCTGCCTTGTGATTTATTTATTTTGTGATCCATAACTCAACAGAAGTATCAGACCAGGATTCTTTACCTGGGAACTCAGAAATCGGTTCCTCGAAAAGAACAAATGGGAGTAATAAATAAGTTCCAAAGAATTTATGAATATCACGACATGAGAGAGAACAAGACTGTATCCTATTTTAAAACTGCAGTCTTTTCCCCCCAATAAAACATACATTGGAAAGAACCTCTTCAGCTTTTACTTCCTAGGTCAGGGGTCTCCAACCGTGGCAACTTTAAGTCTGGAGCTTTGCTGGCTGGGGAATTCTGGGAATTGAAGTCCTCCTATTCTGTCTTTTGGTTCACTTGCTGAATTTAAAGACAGATAGATAACTCTACAAATTCTTCCATACAAAGTTTCTTTTATTGGATTATATTAGGTATCCTCAAGGTAACTCACAGTTATGTTGAGATGCAACTAATGTCCAATTCTTTGCACAGTTGAAATCATAGTGTAAATGATAGTAAACTTTCTATCCCATATTTCATCCCATTGTCGTAGAATCAGGGGGTAGAGGGGCTACCATGAGGTTGTGTTCAGGCAAGAGTGAGGGAGCCTCCCCCAACCCACCAAGGGTCAATTCAGTGACCAATCAGGGTTACAGATGTGGCCACATGACATGAACTACATTTCCCAGGATACCTTAACTGTATTTACCAGGATGCATTCCCTTAAGGGGACCGCTCCCAATTCCTAACTAACTATACCTGGCTGGACAGCATACTCCCCGCCTGGAATTATAAATTCCACTATTAACTAAAGAGCAAGTAACAGTATAACTAAGATAAACAGTAAAGACTAAAACTAACTGAATAGCAGTTAACTATATAACTAAGAGAAACAGTTAGCTATGTTACTATTTACTGTTTCTCTTAGTTATATAGATAACTGTTTATCTTAGTTATATAGTTAACTGCTATTCAGTTAGTTTTAGTCTTTACTGTTTATCTACAGCACACCTCCAGACTGAAAAGGTGCCAAGGTTGGAGGCCCCTGACCTAGTGAACTAAAAATGGAACTGTTCAGAGCAGGAAATTCCAGCATCGACTTCAGGTCCCTGACCCAGCCGTCTTTAACAGCCGTGACCTTTGGTGACTTGGGATAAAGGCACCACTGCAGCTGTAACATCTCAGCAGTTGCAGCCTAAGACTTGGCAAACCCTCTACAAAACCCTCATTCAAATACTTTCTCTTCTTAGAAGAGACCAAGAGAAGCTAAGATTGAAGACCTGGACATTGTCTTGGAGACCCACCTTAATGGTTCTTCTCCCAGCCAAAGACTGATGAAAGATTCCTTTTTGTTCTTTCTTTCATTTGCAGTTCAGAATTAAAGGTGTTATTTTTTTGGGGGGGGGGAGGGGGAACAAAAGAAAACAACAACAACAGGTAAGACACTCACCTCCATGAAGGAAATTCCCAGACTCCATACATCAGAATGGATGCCGTACTGTTCTCCGGAAATTCGTTCTGGCTGTTAAAAACAAACAGAGGAAGGGGACAGTTGAACCAAATGAAATGCCAAGAAATAGTAGCATGATAGCTTGTAAATTATGCAAGAAACAAAAACTCGCGTTTCAAACATTCATGAAGTGCCTAAAGGCATTTATTGCCTCCATTTACGGTACTAATTAATACCGGCAAATTTTAATTTTGATTCCCCCTGCTGCTTCGGCAGAATGTGGAGGCTTAGCCATGGGCCATTATGCACCTGAGAACAGGCCTCTCTCCCCTGTGCCTCAGTACTCCTGAGGAAGTGTTTGAAGAGGTTCACCTGCACCCCAAAACCCAGAAGCCCGGTGAATGTAAAGCCTAAAGCTGTGAGGTTGTGGCAGGAGCTCTCAGATTCAGACACAGGTTAACAGTTGGAAGGGACTTTGTAGCTCATCTAGTCCAACCCCCTGCCCAAGCAGGAGACCCTACACCATTTCTGACCGATGGCAGTCCAGTCTCTTCTTGAAAGCCTCCAGTGATGAAGCTCCCACAACTTCTGAAGGCAACTTCTGTTCCATTGGTTGATTGTTCTCCCTGTCAGAAAATTCCTCCTTATTTCCAGGTTGAATCTCTCCTTGTTCAGTTTCCATCCATTATTCCTTGTCTGGCCTTTGGGTGCTTTGGAAAACAGCTTGACCCCCTTCCTCCTCTCTGTGGCAGCCCCTCCAATATTGGAAGACTGCTAACCTGTCTCCCCTGGTCCTTCTCTTCCCTAGACTAGCCAGGCCCAGTTCCTGCAACCGTTCTTCGTATGTTTGAGCCTCCAGTCCCCTCATCATCCTGGTTGCTCTTCTCTGCACTCTTTCTAGAGTCTCAACATCTTTTTTATAGTGTGGCGACCAAAACTGGATGCAGTATTCTAGGTGTGGTCTTACATACTTTAGGAGAGGTGATCTCATCTCACCCTCTCCTTGTTCTGTGGATTAACATGCTGGGCAAAGATACCTGTGATACCACTGAAGCAGCACCTGGGTCAGACAAAGCATCTCTTCTGCAACCCTTCCGATCTCAACAACTCAAGAACTGGAAGTATGTCCCTCCATACTGGGAGTCCTCAACTGAGCACCATTCATTTAGCAATTGATCCAAGTTACAATAATGGCCCTGAAACAAAGTGACCTACAACTGGCCTCCGACCCCTGTAAGCACCCCCTTGGTCACATGATCCAAATTTAATAATCGGCATGTAGAGACGATGGTTGGGGCATCTTGGGGGGGGCACTCGATTGCCATTTTGGGACCTTTTCAGCCAGCTTCCAACAAGGAAGTCAATGTGGGAAGCCCGGATTCGCTTAACAATCATGTGATTTGCTTAATTAGCTGTGACCAAAATCAAGCACAGCTTACTGAACAGCCACCTTGCTCAGCAGTGGAAAATCTGCTCCCAATTGTGCTCCTATGTGCACAACTGCCTATAAAAGGACTGCCTCATATGTTGAGGACTGCGCCAACTCAGGAAGCTCAAACTGCCCAAGGAGCTGCTGATCCAGTTCTACAGAGGCATGATGGAGTCCATCATCTGCACCTCTATAACTGTCTGGTTTGGTTCTGCAACCCAACAGGACAGACACAGACTCCGGAGAGGAATTAGGACTGCAGAAAAAACAATGGCTACCAACCTGCCTCCCATGGAGGACCTGCGTCCTGCACGAGTCAAAAAGAGGGCTGGGAAAATATCTACAGGCCCCTCACATCCCGGACATAAACTGTTTCAACTCCTACCCTCAAAATGACACTATAGGGCACTGCACACCAGAACAACTAGACACAAGGACAGTTTTCCCCCGAACGCCATCACTCTGCTAAACAAATAATTCCCTCAACACTGTCAAATTATTTACAAACTCTGCACTACTATTACTATTAATCTTCTCATCACTCCTTATCACACATCCCCTCCTGCTTGTGACTGTATGAGTGTAAATTTGTTGCTTGTATCCTTACAATTTATATTGACTGTTTCCTAGTATGATTTGAATAGAATAGAACAGAATTCTTTATTGGCCAAGTGTGATCGGACACATAAGGAATTTGTCTTGGTGTAAATACTCTCAGTGTCCATAAAAGCAAAGATACATTCGTCAAGAGTTGAGAATCATAAGGTACAACACTTAATGATAGTCATAGGGTACAATAAGAATAGAATAGAATAGAATAGAATAGAATAGAATAGAATAGAATAG